GGATTGGCAATAGATGTTAGCTCAGGGCCAGTCTTCCTCAGCAAAAAAAGAGGAGGATTGGCATGGATGTTAGCTCAGGGCTGATCTTCCTCACAAAACAAACAAACAAAACCCCAAAAAACAAAAAAACAAAAACAGACACACAGATCAATGGAACAGAATTGAAAGTCCAGAAATAAAACCTCATATCTATGGGCAGCTAATCTGTGACAAAGGAGCTAAGGACATACAGTGGAGAAAGGAAAGTCTCTTCAATAAATGGTGCTGGGGGGCCGGCCCCGTGGCTTAGCGGTTGGGTGCCTGCACTCCGCTGCTGGCGGCCTGGGTTCGGGTCCCAGGCGTGCACCAACGCACTGCTTCTCCCGCCATGCTGGGGCCGCATCCTATGTGCGGCAACTGGAGGGATGTGCAACTATGACATGCAACTATCTACTGGGGCTTTGGGGAGGGAACGGAGGGGGACTGGTGGTGGGTGTTGGCTGGGAGCTGGTCTTCCTCGGCGAGGAGAGGAGGATTAGCATGGATGTTGGCTTGGGGCTGGTCTTCCTCACAAAAAAAAAAAAAAAAATTGGTGCTGGGAAAACTGGACAGCCACTTGCAAAACAATGAAAGTGGACCATCTTCTTTCGCCTTACACAAAAATTAACTCAAAATGGATCAAAGACCTGAAGGTGAGACCTGAAACTATAAAACTCCTGGAGGAAAATACAGGTAGTACACTACTCGTCATCAGCCATAAAGGGATCTTTTTGAATTCCATGTCTACTCAGACAAGGGAAACAAAAGAAAAAATAAACAAGTTGGACTTCACCAGATTAAAGAGCTTTTACAAGGCAAATGAAACCAGGATCAAAATGAATAGGGACTCCACCAGCTGGGAAAAAATATTTGTAAACCATATATCTGACAAGAGATTGATCTCCATAATATATAAAGAACTTACACAACTGAATAATTTATTTACTTTGCTGAGGAAGATTGGCCCTGAGCTAACATCTGTACCCATCTTCCTCTATTTTGTATGTGGGATGCTGCCACAGCATGGCTTGATAAGCGGCGTATACGTCTGCGCCCGGGATTTGAACCTGAAAACCCTGGGCCGCCGAAGCACATAGCGCGAACTTAACCACCATGCCACTGGGCTGGCCCCCTATTTTGCATTAGTAACTGACTTTGAATGTATACACATTATAGGACCCAGTTTTTCTACTTAGGGTATATAACCATCAGACATATGACCCAAAAGGGCATAAAAATATGTGCACCAAAACACATACACGAAGGTTCATAGGAATATATTTCATAACAGGTCTATAGTGGAAGTAACCCAATGTCCTACAATATTAGAATGCATAAATGAATTGTGGTACATTCACACTATGGGAAATTAATCAGCAATGAACAGCACTAACTGCTCCTCATCCCCAAACTTGGGTGAATCTCACAGATATAATGCGTGAAGAAAAGCCAGGCACAAAATAATACAGACTGTGTGTGCAGGAAAAACTACTTCATGGTGTCAGAGCTCAGTATAGTGCTAATATCCGGGGAAGAGGGACAGGCTAGTGACTAGGAGG